TTAACTCTTGAATGAATATGAATAAATTAGTCTTAGGATTCAGAAAATTGTTTCGTTAGTAAAATGTCAAAATTGTTTGTTTTTGAGGAGTAGGTAACAATTAAATTACTTCTTTTTGGCCTTCTTTTCTTTCTTTTTATAAATTGCTAACAGTTTCTCAAACTCCTTATCATACTTGATATCAAATCCATGAGCTGTATTCACAAAAGTTTGTTCAATCTTTTCCTGTTCTTCATCTGAAAATTTAATCTCAGAATCGCTAAAATCCAACTGTCCCACCAACTCCATTTTCACACTCTCAATCTTGTTTAAATTATGTGGACACAATTCAAAATAAAGTTTCCATTCGAATGTGTACAATTTTCTAATCATATCAGGCATGGAAGGTTTATACAGGGAACTAGTTGATGAAGAAAATTGTTTACTCTTTGAAGCCATTTGAGAAGTTGGAATGGAAGGTAAACTTGCAGAATGAGGAGTAAAATCAAAGAATTGACCAGTCACTCTTTCCTTTCTTCTATGGCAAACAGTTACTTTTCCATTCGAAGGATCGATTATTATATCAATAAACCAAAATCCAGAATCTTTTATCATCATATTAATATATAAATTGAATTTTTGATTATATTTACCTTTGTACCTAAATAATTGTCCCAATTGTCTTTTAAGGGCAATTACACCAGGTGCTATTATAGACTGATTGCAAAATTTTAAAATAGTTAGTACAGGTGATGCTTCTCCAAAATAATTAATTAGAAATGTTTCCAATGTTTGATAATTACTAAAATTGACATTATTTTCTAATAATCGACAAGTAAATGATTGAATATTATTACCATTGACAAGACATGATTCAGAAAGATGCGGATCATTCATAGATTGTATCTAAATATAATTCATTTAATCAATTATATGAAATCAATATATTTACCTCACTGTACAATATTGAAAGTATTGAATGAATAACTTTGGTCAATTTGTTTTCACATTCAAAATCTTCTTCTTGAATATTAGAGTTGGGTATTGGATTCTTGGTATTTGGTTCTAAAACAGTTATCTTGTTACATAATCTTATCAAATCTTTAGCTACAGGTAGATCAATGACTTTCCTATCATACAATGACACAAACAAATTATTTTAAAAACTTACTGTTGTGATATTCTTCTCACAGAATCGGCTGTTTCTACAAAATCCAACAAATAAATTGGTGGTGATGTTGGTGAATTTTTAATGTCCTTTGCGTGTTTTGATCCCATTCTTATTTTTATTCGAAACTAATTTTACTAAACATAGAGTCAAAATACAACTTCCAATGATTGTTTTCTTCTTCCTGCCGATGATGATGATGCTGCTGGTGGAATATTCTTTGAAAAAAAAAAGAGTAATGAGTATCAAAGTTTGCCGTTTTTTTTTAGTTTTTGAAAATAATTGTTCTGAAAAGGCAGCATTTCTTCTTGAAAGGTCGAATGGCATACAAATTTAGAGAAAAACGTACGAAACAACTTTTTGTAAATGTGCACTGCAGTGATGATTCGATTCGATGGCTCAATATTTATCTCATTCAAACAAATCATATTAGACTATTAGATATCATCATATAGAAGTCAACTGAAAATGAAAAAATGTAGTAACAAATACAATCATACGAAGAAAATGAAAACGTTTGTGTATTATGATAAACAGATGGATCATGTGGATGATGAAAGTTCAGTATATCCACACAATCTAGCCATACAGTTAGAAGGCCTTCCCTTTGATTTTCAATGAAAAAACGCGGGTTTTCCTTAAATTAAAATTGGAACAGCTTCAATTAAGGAAACCGTAGTGAACAGATGAAATTCATGTAGACACTGTGAAGGAAAATGATCCATGAAAATAAGAACTTGCTCCTTTATATTAAGTTACTGCACGAATCAGAGGAAATGAAAAATTATTCTTTATTTCGAAAGGACATGATTCTTTTTTCACAAATCGGTGACAATTCGTTATTAGAACAAGTCCCTTTTGGGTTTCCCTAATATTCCTTCTTTTTACTTACTGGGTATCACCAATTAATTGAATTTAAATCATTTAATTCTTATCAGCTCGAGTTAGTATTGGATTGCTGACAATTCAAGTCTCAGACATGTCTCATTGAATGAAGCAACGTTATTTTTCTAACGTCTTCTAAGCAATCGTACCAGAAAGCCTTGATCATCAAAATTTGGTATCGAGAGCTCTTCAGACACAACACACGACAAGATTTAACATCGAGTTATGTTGTTGTGCTGTTTGCTTTCGACATCAACAATGTGTCTTCTCGTGTTGCTGTTGCTTGGTTCTTCATCAAATTACCAACTCCTTTTTCTCTTCTATTTTTAACGAGAAAAAAGGAACGCAACAAGTTGGCACCACACAAAGTTGAAAAAAAACCACAACGATTTTTCTCTGAGAAGATTTTACTTTGCTTCCAATACCGACAGCACAAAGACGACAATTATTGGGAGCACATTACACAAATAACAACAACACCACTTACATTCTGAACAATAGTGTTTTTTTGTCAAAAGCAACTATTTTATACTATTTAGCAAGAGAAATAGGTGTTCCATATAACCTTTATATTTTGGAGTAACATACATATATTCATAATTAATAGATAAAACACATCAAGGAATCATGTACACCACAATGATACCACAATCACAAACCACATCGTCATCACCATATAATGGGCATTCTCCTTCCTATTATTCTGATCAAAATAGTGGAAATTCGTCTAGTACATCAATTTCCTCCCCTTCCATGTACTCTTATTCATCTTCATCTAATACCTCTCCAACTTCGATAACACACTACCCAATGCAGCAAACAATGCAAAATAATGGAATGGTTTCTAATATTATGGATTTTTATATTCATGATGTAAACTTCTCCTTGCATACTAAAGCATCACCTGAATGCGAAATTCAATTGTACAGATTAACCAACCCAATGGATGCTCAAATTACTTTTGTCAACACTCACCCACAGTCAACACCTCCTCCACATCTCTCAACTGTTGTATATGCTTTACAAATCCAATTAGAAAAGTTCATGTCTCAAACAAATCAATGGGTACCTTGTACTAACGATACTCCTTCTTCAAACTTGTTTAAAGACTATGAAGCTAATGTTCTGTATAACCAAACTAATAATCAATCAATTACACAATTAATTCAAACAGATGGAAAGTCACTTTATATACAGTTACCACTTCAATTAGGACTTTTCAGTAACCAATATACTTCTATGACTTTCCGTTCCAAGTTAAATACAAGCAAGGAAAAACAAGGTTTTAAAAGAGGTGAAGTGGCAATCTTTAGAGTTGTTTTCACTCTTCTTAAACAACAACAACAATTGCATACCTATTTCCAAAATAAGTATGATTCTGTGCCGTTTGGAATAATTAACCATGGTAAAAACAGTACAGCTGTGGGAATGTATAAAAACATTAAACTGAGCTCTATCCCTGGTACTGTTGAGTATAACATGCTCATCAAGCAACAACAACAACAAACTTACACACCTCAAATGCACAGTCCAAACAGCAGTATTTATACTACTCCGAACACAAGTGTTGGAACCAGTGATTATTCAAACAATTCTCCATATGGAGGAAATCAATATAGTGGATATAATGGCCAATCTATGGGTCTGGATGTAATTGATGAAAGTAGACAAATACAGGAAATGTTGGACATTCTGAATCAAGAAGAAGAAATGGCAAGACAATATTACAACTCCAATTCTTCAAATGATAGTGGATCTGGAGATGATATGATGTACATGACTGACGACGAGGACATGTTCAGAGAAATTAACTCTATGGAAGATTACTTCTCTCAAAGTCAAGAAACAAACACAAGTCCTGGACAATCCGATCAAAATTATGAAGATATCAAATGGGAAGATGACCCTAATGAAGATTTCCATGGCTTTACAACTCAATCAGATTCAGCCAATGTATTCTTATGTGATGATGAATGTGATGGAATGGACTCTTACTATGCTGACTATTCTGCTCCATCAACGCAACCCCAAAGCGCAACTTTGTCTTCTGCTTATAGCACCCTTTTCAAAAGCTCAGTTGTTCCACAACCATTGGCTAGTAGTGCTGGTAGAAGTGTTGAAAGAAGAAGTCTTTCTAAACAAATGGATTCATTTGCACCTCCTCCTCCAGTTATGAGAAGTAAGGAATCTTCATTGTATTCATTGCCTCCACCATCATCAGAATCAAGAAGTAGATCCTCCCTTGGTAATACTATTCAAGCATCAATTACTCCATCTATTAATCAATACGAAACATGGAGCAGTCCTATTGTTTCAGATTCTCGCCAAGAACTCGTTCGTTCTGTTGCTTCTCAACCTTCTCAACCTCCAAGAATGACCTTTGGAGCTCACTATATAAGATCTGATGTTGCAGCAGAGCTCAAACAACCTGTAGAAGAAAAGAAAAAGAAGAAGCTTTCACTTGGAAAACTTTTCAAGAAGAAGGATGAAAAAGCTCCAAAAGAAAAAGAAAATGAAGAAAAGGCCAAAAACCCACTGTCCAATCAATCTCATGCATCATTCTTTGCAAACTTTAAACCAAGCACTATGGTTACACTTAATACAAATCAGTTACCTGAAAATGTGAGACAAGTCTCTAAAGTTACTCAAGCACAACAAAAACCAACAGAAGATTCTACAAGTACAGCCGAAGACGAACTTGCTGAAACACTTTCCAAATTGAATATCAATAACACTGCCCTCACCACTAAATTTGATCCAAAGAAGATTACTTTCACTCTTGAAAAGAAAGGAAGCAAGGAAGTTTATGACTTGACCAACCCTTCCAAAGAGAAGAAGTCCATTCCATCATTCAATCCAGGAGATGTTATTCAATTTTCAGTTAAGAATAATAATGAGAAAGAATTTATCGAAAAGACAAACCTGATTGTGGGTACAACTATTCCAAGAAGGTCGATTGTCACATTCTCTGACAAGTCAACTGGCTTTACTCAAATGAAAGAAACTGTTGCCACAAGTCAAATAGTACAAATTCCAAATATAAGAGTAACTAATCCAACATGCAAGAAGAAGGCAAAGATTGTCACAATTGTATTATTTGTTAAATTTATCGAGTCCGGAAAAGAAAGAATTTTCACAACCAAGAGAAGAATAATGGTTGTTAATAAATAATTTTCACCTTATTGATTTAACCATGCGTTATGTAAAACGCAATCAAACGAAATTCTACTTTGCCATGTTTAAGCTATTATTATTATACTAAGGATATATTCTAGGATTTAATGAGATCCCGTGTAGTCCAATGGCTAGGATACCTGGCTTTCACCCAGGAGGTCCGGGTTCAATTCCCGGCATGGGAGGATGATTTTACTTTGGAACATTATTATCATAAATGTTTATTTCTCTCGTTATTAAAGGTAATTAGAGAAAATTTGTCATTTATTTTACAAGGATGGTTTGATGATTGGCTTTGATGGCTTCTTGCATGTCTTTCTCTTGATACAAATCTTCTTCTTAATTGACTTGCAACACTTCTTCTTTCCACCAACTAATTTGAATTTCTTACAAATCTTCTTTCCCTTTGAACGTTTCAAACACTTCTTATAATACTTCTTCTTGATACATCTTGGAGGAATGACAATTGACTTGGCACAATACTTCTTCTTATTATATTTAACACATTTAGAAAGAGTCTTCTTGTGCTTACAGAACTTGATGGTCTTATGTTTGGCACAGAAGTATTTCTTCTTAATGAGACAACATTTCTTGACTGATTTTCTCTCCTTACAGTATTTAACCTTCTTATACTTGGCACATTTCTTTGCCCATGAAACAATCTTACACTTTTTAACATATCTACATTTGGCAACCTTCTTATTGTAGGAATCAACAGTGTACTTGTCACAAATCTTCTTCTTTTCACACTTCTTGATTGGAACCTTCTTGAATTTCTTACAGACCTTCTTATATCCATTCTTGAAACACTTGTTGATAATCTTATATTTGGCACAGAATTTCTTGAAACCCTTCTTAACACAAATCTTCTTAGTTCCATAAGAATCACAAACTTTCCAGTACTTCTTCTTGGCACAACCAACAATCTTATATGCATGCAAGACACACTTCTTTGTTGGCTTGCTATACTTGTCACATTTGGAATATTTCTTATGTTTGAGACATTTACCAGCCCCTACAATTGCATATTGATCACAGACCTTCTTTTGACCAACAAGTTTGTGTTTCAAACACTTCTTAATCCACTTGTGCTTTAAGCATTTTCTCTTACAATGCTTTGGCTTGTGATACTTGTCAACAACAACAACTGGAGGTTTAGTTTGATAGCTGTCACTTGCTTGAACTGAGAGGACTGCAAGTAAAAGTAGAAGTGCAATTGAAAAGATTAGATTTGCTTTCATTTTTTGTTGGATAGGATAGTTCAACCATGGTGCTAATTTAAACCATTTCGAATAATTTTTCATTTGGAACAAGCTTTAAAAAGTTGGTTGTAAGGTTCCAAATTTGGAAAGAAAATTGATTTCCCTAACCAAACCTTCAATGATTCAACTATCAACTCATCATTCCAAAAGTATTCTTATTATCAACAGATATGTTGAATGATTTACAACCTGAACAATTTCAAGCACCTGTGAAAGACATTGCTAATGTACAAGATGGTTTTATTACAATATGACATATAAATATGTTAATGGTGTGTCTACAATAATCAAATTGGTTAAACAATACTGTTCTTTAATTGAATGTCTCTAGAGAAGGAATACTTTTTGAATTCAGAAGTTTCTTTCAATCGTTCAAAAGTATCATTAAGATTTAACATTAACTCAGTTGTTACAATATTTCTAATGAGGGACAATTTGACTGGTTGTTGATTTTCATAGATAGATACAAGTTCCTTCTTTGCTGGCGATGGAAGATTGACTTCATATTTTGAAAGAGATTGAAAGTAAGTTTCAAATAAATGTTTGAAAGTTTCCACTGTCACTAATACATCATCCTTCTCTTTCAGATTTTCTAATTCTTCATATAAGAGTGCATTTTCTAGTGAAAATTCCTTAGCGCAATACATTTTAAACAATTCCTTAAAAGTGTCATCTTTCATTAATTCTTCCAATCTAGATTCTTGTTTAATATTATCTGAAACTGCGTTTCTCCTCTTTAAAATAAATCTTCTCCATTCCAATACAATTGCTGTTCCTCCCCCAAGACCGTATGTACATAAGCATGCGAGAGATGACAACACAGAGGTCACAACTTCCTCATAATCATACGTGAATTGAGAACAAATTGCAATCACAATGGTAATTAACATGATACACAAGAAATAAATCAAATCAATTCTCAACCCAAATGGATCTTCAAAGGAAAGAAAATTCAACAGACCCTTATCCTTAATCTTTTTCCAGTTTAAGGCAATATCAATTAGAATTATCAAGGAACCAATATTGTTCCTAATAAAATTTGAACAGCATACATTATATTCAATTCGGCTTGTAAGGAGTATTGTTTTTGATCAACTATATAAGGAATGCAAATAATCATCCAAATACAGGCATAGGTAAATCCACTCACAAATGAACCAATGATACCAAACCAACTGGATACCAGAAACTTGTGAATCTTGATAGTAGTTTCGCTCTTTGCCTTTGAAAGAAATAGATAAAGATATCTGAGGTAGGAAAATCTTATTAGGGAAAATCCATAAATTCCAACAATGGCAGATAAAAAGCAAATACTCAATACATAATTGACAGATCGACATGAAAGGGTATATGATGTAAAGCTAATATTAAATACAATTATCAAAATAGGTAATGCATAAGGAGCTGTCAATCTTCTTTTCACAGATTTGGTTTTACAAACTGTCAACAAGGCCAAATAGAATAGAAAACCAATAATGACAGTAGCCCAAATAACAGACTCATACACAATCTCTGCGTTTCTATCAACTTCATTAGAACAAACATTGTACTCGTCACTGAATTTTTCATAACAATACATTTCATTAATGGTCATGAATGAAGTTGACTGATTGTAATAATACTGAGATTGTAATTCATAATCTAAAACGTATTTTTCACTAGAAAATGGATAAAAGAGTGCATTGTGTTTTCTAACTAGTGGAATGTCATTGAATTGATTCAGATAATAGGTAAGAAACTCCTTTTGATATCCTGAAATGTTACCGAAACCATTTTGATAAAACATGTAACCAATATTTCTCTTGATTTCAAAATATTTCATTGTTGTATTGGTACCAATGAAATACTCATTCATTCTCTTGTAGAGCGAATCAAGATGATTTTCAATTATTGTTTAATTTAAATTAGTTTCATTATAATAAACTGAAACTGAAATAGGTACTTGAAATTCAGAAAGAAAAGAAAAGTCACTCCACTCATACAATCCATTCCATTCCCTTTTCCTTGGAAGACTTTGTACGAAACTACGTAGAAAATCTTCACTGCTCATCACAAACACATCATACAAGTCAATTGGATTTCCAAAAATACAATCAATATATAAATAATTAAAAGTCTGTACACTTTCAGGAATAATCTTTGATTGGTTACCATTCTTATTGTACATTTCTAATTGACTTTTGAAAACTGTTTCTGTCAAGACCAAATCACTAACAAGTATTTCACTTTCGTCTTGATTATACACATTTTCAGCAGGAGAGTATGGATGAATAATCACAATTCGTTTACCATGCAAATCTAGTGGTGAGGATAATGACATCTTTGGTGAGAAGGAAAAGACTGTCAAGTAATTTAATGATGAAATAATGGACGGATGGAGAGATTGTTTAATCATGGATTGTTTGATTTGAAGGAGAGAATGTTCTTGAAGTTGTGGGTGTTGTTGTGAGAAAGATCTATCTGTGTTAATGAGTGCTAGGAATGAAAGGATCAATAGGAAATGAACAAGAGTTCGTGTCATTTTTTTTTGACTATTCAGGTGGAATTTACCCGTGATTGTTGATATTTGTTTCAATTAGTAGAGCTGCTGTTTGCCATCGTCTAATTAGAAATTTGAACTACTACCTTAACAACTGTTGTTACATAAATTCTATTATATAATACATATTCTATTACTATAAATCAACATTAAAACATGAGAAAGGTTGCCAACACAAAGGTGCAATGGTTTAGTTACGAATTAAGGATACAATACTAGTGAATGAGAAGCGTCGATGGTTTAGTGGTAGAATACGGCGTTGCCATCGCCGTGACCCGGGTCAATTCCCGGTCGACGCATTCAAAGATAACAATTTTTACTTTCTACATACAATATTATAATATTGTATATAATATTGGACCAAAGCCTTAATATCATTTGTATCATTCATAAGCATTAGTTATTGCAATTCTTGATAAATATTCAATCCCTTTTTCTCCAATATTAATAAATTAGATCAAAGATTGGAAATTTCCTTTTATCCTTTCTTCTGACACATTTCTATTCAACGTTAAACATTCAGTTGTCGCAAATTTTGACAAATAGATCGACTTCCTACATCTTGAACCTATGCTGAAATCAAGTTTAGTTTCGTTAAAGTTGAAGTTTTTATTTGAAATTAAATTAGCTCCTTCACTTCCCAATTTTACATGTTTCATTTCATTTTGGAACTATATCTTAATAAATCAAAATTGAGATCAATCTTAAAAGGTTAATCTTTTCAGTTTCGAACACTTTGAAAGGTGTTTAACAGTTTCATCTCCTACCACTCCATTAATTCCCTCTATCAATGCTAAACCTGAAAGTAATTCATTTTTTCTTTTCTTCATGGAACTTTGATTGTTGTTGAAAACGTTGTAAGGCGGTCTTGACCGAGTGGTTAAGGTGATTGACTAGAAATCAATTGGGGAGACCCGCACAGGTTCGAGTCCTGTAGATCGCGATTGTTTTTATTAAGGTATCACATGTTAAAGTGTGATATTATTTTGATTAATAAACATATTGTTATTGGGAAGATCCCCCTTAGCTCAGTCGGTAGAGCGTCAGACTGTTAATCTGCAGGTCGGTGGTTCGAGCCCACCAGGGGGAGATTAAGTTTTGCTTTGACCTTTTGGTAAATTGAGAGGGTGTTTTACACTATGTTATTGTTAACTAATAATTCTGCCTAATAGAGGTTGTTTGCTAACTGTTTATTTCAATTGCAATATCTCTTCTTGCTGGCTTGAATTTGTTCAACATATTTAGGACTCCAGAAAAGGCAAACATTATTGAAATGAACGACTTCGATGAAAAGTGGAGTCTAAATTGTTTCCTAAAAACATGATTGGCTTTGAGTTGTTTAGGTTGACTAGTAATAAAATCATCATTTGGAACTTGTTGCGCATTTGCTTAATACCCAAGTGTAGGAGACTTGACATAAACCTCTAGAATCCTCAACCCATCTATACTTTCCTTTCTGTATTTAATTTTGTTTTTTCATCATTGTTGTTTTAATATGTTTACCAAATTCTTCTTGTTCCATAGCTTTCAGATTTTTTCGATTTATGATTCCCAGAGTGTTTTAACAAATCCTCTCTTTTCTGATTGAATAATGAATAGTTACCATGAATTTATTCAACCGAAACCTCCAGTCTCGATATCAGCATTAAAGTTGAAAATTTTAATGGTAGCAATGCTCCAAGCAAAAGCTTTCCGATCAATAAATCCATTTAGTAACAAGTAAAACCACTGGAAGATTCCTCCCAATTCATCTACCTACGCCTTCTCAAATTCTGAACCTTGTTCTTTAGAATTACTCCTCCAAAATATGAACCAACTACCAAGATCCATCATAAACTGATTCAAATATAATGAACATATCACATCATGTAGACTTTAAACGACATGCCATAGATACATCACCACAACAAAAACATGTTCTCCTCCAATAATTCCTTATCGTTCCAACAAGTGTGTTTAAATTCAAGAGCATTGAATTTAAAAAGTAATAACTATGGTCCACTCAGAATGTCTCTTGATGAGTATCCAATTTTCTTACATAGAGAAGGCAGAAACAATAACAATTAATTCCTCTATCACATCCGTAATAAACTTCATCATACAAACATGAAAGAGGATGTTCCAAGATAATCATACAGGGTACTACAGAAAGAATGATGAAGATTTGTTTACCAAGTCACAGAAAGGAGGAAACAAGAAGAAGGAATACAAATGGAGGTTAAGAATACTTCCCTAAACTGTTCATAACAGTAATTATTATTATACTATTCAACATGTTGTTTTAAATTAGTTAGCGATCAACCTATCGATGCTGGTAATGGCTAAAGAATACGATGAAGCATTTTTAATTTTTACTGTTCAAAAATTAGATTGTAAACAACGAGCACATAATGGTAAACCAAGTTTTAAAAATTTTGTTGAAAAAAAAATCCATTAATCCATATTCACAATGCCAAAGGAAACCGTTGACAGAAAACTCAAGAAGGACAATCCAATGAGAAAGGTCCAAATCCAAAAGCTTTGCTTGAATATTTCCCCTGGTGAAGGTGGTGATAGATTGCAAAAGGCTGCTAGAGTCTTGCAAGATTTGACTGGTCAAGCTCCAGTTTTCCACAAGGCCCGTTTGACTATCCGTTCTTTCGGTATTAGAAGAAACGAAAAGATTGCCTGTTCCGTCACTGTTAGAGGTGAAAAGGCCTACGAATTGTTGGAAAGAGCTTTGAGAGTTAAGGATTTCGAATTGAGACAACGTAACTTCTCTGATGCTGGTAACTTCGGTTTTGGTATCCAAGAACACATCGATCTTGGCTTGAAGTACGATCCTAACATTGGTATCTTCGGTATGGACATCTTCGTCGTTTTGGGTCGTCCAGGTTTGAGAGTCTCCAAGAAGAAGAGAGCTCCAGGTAAAATTGGTGTTCAACACTTGTTGAGCGAAAAGGATGCCAAGCAATGGTTCGTTGATAACTTCAAGGGTACCATCTTGAACTAAATTAAAAAATAAATCAAAACATAAAATTTCATAAATTGCATTTAAAAAACAATAATACAACAATATTCATCAACGAAGATCACCAACAAATACTCAACTAATTTTTGTTAACTCTGATTAAAGAAGGTTGTCATCAAAATGTCTTCTTCAAGATTAAAAAATGTCAAACAACAACTCCTTTGATGTCATTCGTTTTCGCTCCTTGCTCAAAAAATATGCTAAACCACAAAGTGAAGAAATTGAAACAAGTCAAGTTGTTGATTTATTAAAAGAATTTGATAAGAAAAGATTTGGAACATTAACAATCAAAGATGTACAATCACAAATTGATATTGATAAATATGGATCTGTTTGTTTTTCATCAGTGGAAAACTTTGCTTGTCATCACACTTTAAACGATCGTTCAACATTTGTGACAGATACCATTTCATTATTCTACAATAATTATTCCTCGGATAAAGGTAAAAGATTAGATAACAAATCCGATAGATTAATTGAAGAAAATGATATGATCAAATTAATAATTCAAATGTCAGACAATTCTCTTTCCACTGAAGATGCTTCTCGAATGATAAAGGAATTACAATCAAATCAATTGTACAGTGTAAAGAAATTAGCTGAAAAGCTTTTATAATTTATTGATGATAAATTTCATTCAATTGATTACATTATTTAATAATAATAATAATATTCAATCTATTATTTGATTATAAATATTGAGGAGAATGACAGCCACTTCCATTCATTCACTCACTCTCCAACATGAACCCATTAGGAGGAACAGTCCACACAACCATGTCTCAATTTGTATTTGGATCGAATTTTAAATGTAACGGTCATATTTTTAAACAAACATCCTCAGTTCGAAAAATTACACGAAGTCAAGTCCGCACAAGCATCAAAGAAATGGCAATTTTCAATCGAACAACAAATTCAAAAAAAAGAGTACAACATATTGTTGCAATTTTCAAAATTTCAATCAATTGAAAACAGCTACATTTAAATTCACTCCATTATGAATAACCTTCTCAAAAGTATCCGAAGTCAAATCCATCAACATTTTACCTCCTCCAATAATAATAATAATACAGCTACTACTTCATTACTTGGTAGTTATATGTTGAGTAGGAAAAGCTGCACAACCAAACAATGGAATGTTTTTGTGATTGCCTGTGATGGAAATATCGGAGTTGGTAAAAGTACACTCTGCAAGGTGATGCAACAATATATTCATAAAGAGTTTAGTAGTAGTATACTGTTGTGTCATATTGAAGAGGATGTTGAGAAGAATATTGAACTCTTTAAAAAGTACTTGTCCAATCAGAGAGAATATGGTCTTGAATTTCAGAAATGGATTATTAAAGATAAGATTCAACAATTCTTAGATAAGGTTTCAATATGGGAAGATGAAAATGTTGAGCAGGATAAGATTGTTGTCATTATGGATAGATCATTGTTGGCAGATCGTTTTGTCTTTTTCAGAAATTTATTAGAAAAGAAACTAATGAGTCAAGAACAATTACAAGATTATGAACAAACATTTGAGAAAATGTCTAGAGAATATCCAGTTAACTTGTTTTATCCAGATTTTCACATCATTTTAGAAGCTTCAATTGATGTTGCTATGGAAAGAATTAATAGAAGAAATAGAGTTGGTGAAAGTTCAGTTTACAATAAGAATTACTTACAAATGATTGAAGATTTCCATCTTGACATGTATAAAACCTTACCAGTGAGAGAAGGAGCAATTGTATATAGACATGATAACAGTATTAATCAAAGTATTACAAATATTGAACAATTTCTTACAGAATCACCACACAATAGATTTGTGTAATTATTAGTCAAACCTAATTTTGTAAATATTTCAACAACCATATTAAACAACCTAATTTATTTAAAGCTTGAAGAATTTAGAATATTTGCCCATATTTAAGAGACCATTGTTTGCTTCAACAGTTGGATGTACAAGGAATGCAATTGAATTTTCAGCTTTGAGCACAACATTAACTTCTGGACAACACTTCTTAACTGTTTCAATAGTTTCTTGGAATACCTCTTCAACATTCTTAAAGTTAACAAATGAATAGCTTACTCTCTTGTCATTAGTTAATTGAATGCATTGTCTATTACTCATATTCCTCTTTCCAACCTTGGAGATCTTTACAAGTTGAGAGTATGGAAGTATCATCTTTAAACATGAACCACTATTAACAGTTGTAGTGAAACATAGACAATCTGTGAAAATGTAAAATTCACCAATCAACTTGGTATCATAATCAGTACAACTGTACTTGTTGAATAATCTTGTTTCTGGTTTGAGATTAAATGTCTTTCTAACAACATCAGAGACAGGATATCCCTTCTTTGAGATAACCTTTTGTTGAGATGCAATATCAGAATCCTTATCATCCTCCTTTGTAGTGTTAATAAATAAGAGCTTGTTAACAAGTGATGAATCTTTTGCTTTGAATTCACTTGCATTCTTCAAGATGAATGTTTGAATAACTTCAAATGCCTTCTCTCTATCTTTGAAACATGAAAATTGGAATTCCTTCTCAGATTTGGAAACAGTAATTGAATTATCGAGTGCTCCTGCACCAAATGTAGATCTGAATACACTCTTAATTTTACCTATAGAAATCTTGATATAATCAATTTGAGTGTTATATTGAGGTTCTGATGTGAAAAAGTTAGCAGTTCCTCTAATTGCAGTCATTGGATTCAAGTAATGTAGCATTGAATATTCCTTGTTTGTTGCTTCAATTGTAACATCAAGTTTAAATAACTTGATAAGGGATGATATTGGAATCCAACTGATACAAATATCAGGTGAACTCAAAATACAAATAAATCCGTCATTTCCTTTGTACATGCATCTGAAGAAATCAGTGATAACTAATTTAATTTCTTCGTCAGCTCCAGTAATCTTTGTTGGGAACTTTAAAAAGTTCATGAATTCTTCGCCAAGTTGACCTGCAAGCCCTTTTCTACATGATCTTACAAAAGCATCCAATCTAAAAACAATATCTTTCAAATAATCAGAGCTTTCCATTTCAAAGAATTCGGATTCAATCATCTTGGCTTCATTTTCCACCATTTCTGTAATATTCTTCTTTTCAAGTTCAAGGATGGCTTTTTGATGAAGGAGAGATTCAATTTCCTTTCTCAAATCCTTTGCTTTAGATCTTGTTTGTTTTCTTTCATTTGTAATTACTCTCATAGATTTAACATGTTTGTATTTCTTTTTCAATCCATCAATTTCCTTTCTCAAATTATCCAAAGATTGTTTGGATTGTTGATAATTATCTTTAGCAGTTTTAAGTGCTTTTTGGAACATGTCAAAATCACTATTAATTAAAGCTTGATTACCTTCAAACAATGACATTTCTGAAGTAACAAACTTGTTAGCATCAGGGTCATTCATTCTCTTATTTCTTGTTTCAATGGCTCTTCTGTGCAGAATAGCAAATATATAATTACTTGTTACAATAATCTTACTCTTAACTTCTTCTGCATCAGCAATTTGATCTTTCAAATCATGAATTTCTTCTTCTTTATCTTTTCTAGCTAAATCCTTATTCATTGTTTCTATGAGATTGGCAACATCTTCAATTTGGATTGATTTTTCATTGTATTCATCAATTAGCCTCTTTGTAGATGTCAAACTCAATTGGAATAATTCAGAAATAAAATCAAAATGTTCCTTAATGTACTTTACATCAAGACCAGATCCATTTGCATTGAAATAATCCATGAAAGATTCAAATGTTGTTTTGAATTTTTCAATTTGAGATCTTGTTAGAGTTGGTCTATCAGCAGGAGGAATAGCACATTCCTTCAACTCATCAATTAACATGTTAAAGATATTTCTAAGAACAACCTCAAATACCCTATCATTGAGGACACTATAAAGAGTAGCCAATTGATCATCCAAATAATCAAAAAGTGGTGTCATGAGCGAGTTGAGATCAATCTCAGAAACATTTGGTTGTAAATTATTAACTGGTAGTCTATTGGATGATGTAGTTCTTGTAGGAGTTGAAGGATTACTTCTTGTAGGAGTTCCTGGAGAAGAAGGAACAGCACCAGGTTGACTAATCTTTGTAATTGTATCAATTAAACTTTCCTTCATGGTCTTGAAGATTAATTGTGAAAGGTGGTTATTCATCTTTTCTTGGATCATTGACTTTAAAGATGTTAACAATACTTTCATAGTATCGTGCATCATTCTCATACCTTCCAACAGGTCATCCTTCTTCTTTTGTGAATAAGATGAAGTTACGGATGTACTTAAATCAATAGATTGAGATTCATCATCTTCATCCAAGGATCCTAAATCATAATCTTCGATTTGATTGGCAATTTCAGATTGTTGCTTCAGCAATTGTTTGTGAATATCTTCAGAGAGTGATCTCACTTGATTAATAGTTTCTAAAATATTATTCATACATAAACCCATTTTAGAAACAATTTGTTTGTGAACATCCTTTCTAGTTTCTTCATACAAATCTTCTTCCTGTTGTTGTTGTTGAACAGTAGTTTTTCTCTTCAATAACATATCCTTATATTTGGCACTTGTTTTTCTATTGACATATTCTTCTTCAATCTTTTTCATCTTTGTGGTATTATCAATAAATATTTCCAAATTCATAGTCGCATAATTTTCAATAACTGTTGCAATAACGTGTGTATAGGTTACATAGATGAGAGGAAGAGTTTCAAGTGAAGAGTTACCTGTTCCAAACTTGGAATTTGTAGACTCAGCCAAAGTTCTAAAAGAATCCAAAATTGATTCAGAGGCATATTGGGCAGGTGGTTGAATTTCTGATTTTAAGAATTGTAAACTTGTTTCTAAAATAATTAAACTTTGTCTTAATGATGTGAATGTATCAATAACTGATGTAGTATAACTAACATCTTGAGTAATTGGTTTCCATTCACCATAGTCAACTGCCTTCTTACACCATGAAGTTGCACTCTTTTCAAACGTTTCAATCCACTTGTAAACATATGGAATGAAGATATCTTTAAGTGCATATGGTTGAACATTAGCATGGTCAGCTAATAATTGATAAATCTTTTCAATCTTTGATGGTAAATCGAATAAACCTAAAGGAAGTTCTCCTCTATCAGTGTAATATCTAAATTTGCTTGATTTTAACTTGTGTAGTTCAATTTCAATACATGAATAGACTTGATTAGACACAATTTTCATTACACCAACACTTGAAGGGAAAGTAGGTTCGAAATGAGTTTCATATCGTGGTAAATGTTCATTTAAAACTTCAATGAGACATAATAATTGAACTGGATGAAGACCTCCACTCTCATCAGGTTGTAAATTTGGATCTTTCTCTGCTAATTTGTTAATAATTTTACCTCTATAATAATCAAACAAATTAACCATACTATTTTCGATACCTTCCTTTGTTGCAATTGAAAGTGATTTGTAACCATGATTAATACCATCAGGATCTGCCATACATGAGAAGGCATGAATTAAAGTTGAAACCTTAACAGCAAACATGATAATGGTATCCATAGTTTCATTTGCTGATTTCCAGTGATTGTCAATAATGAAACTCAACTCTCTATTAATATTCTTTGCTGCTTGGGCAAAGATTCTCTTCTCAGAGGATGTCAAATAATATCTATCAATAACTGGATCATCATCAAGTAATTTGTCCTTCTTTTTCAATTTTCCTGCAGCAGAAAGATTTCTTGTAATAATGGTTCTTACCAAGTGAAGTAAACACTTGTAAATATTACCAATTTCAGAGTAGGAATGTTTGAATTGTCTTGAGAGTTTTTCCAACAAGACCAAGAATGCAAAGACACCATCTCCATATCCATAAAAGTTAGAAACAGCTTGAATAACTTCGAGAGATTCATCTTTAAGTGTCAACATCTTAGTTTTAACTTTGGTTGATTTATCTTCTTCCTCATCTTCATCATCGCTATCAGCTGCTGAGCTTCTCTTTTCTTCAACAGTAAAAAGTGAATATTGAAGAATACAATCAATAAATTGTTGGATAATAACATGTCTATATCTAACATCTTCATCACCATTATCGTGCCTCTTCTTTACATCATCAAGTGATAAACTGAATTGAGAAAGTGCTTCATCAATATTCTTTGTTTCAGTTTCAATGAAATTGTCATATTCACGATCTGATTCAAAGTGCTTTTTAGCATAGAATGGGTGTTCATCTTCAGAATCAACAAATCTGTGATATCTTGTTGTACATTCTTCTAAAAGTAGATTTTTAACTCCTAGTTTTTTCAATTCTCTCAATTTGTAGTCTTTCAGATCATCTCCAACAAAACAAGCTTCCGCAACAATATTATACAAAATATTGAACTTTTCTGATGGCATACCAATATTAACATCAAAGTACATTACAAAAACAGCTCTAGCAGCAAGATTAAATGCTTCCTCACGTTGGGATTTCAAAATAGTAACAGAAGCTCTTGAAAATCCTGTTAAAACTGCTCTAATATTAGAAAATGGATCTCTCATAATGTTATTTTGTCTATCCATTTCATAGAGCTTTTTGGTAAATTCAACTTGTTCTTTTCTGTTTGAAATTTTGTGAATTTTAACAGATTTTCTATTCTTTCCAGTTGGGATCACAGGGCTGGTTGCTTCATCTTGAGTATTTTTGAGTAAATCTTCAAAATCTTCACCATCCAATAATTCATCAAGACTCAAACTTGGAACATTGACATCTTGATCTGCTTCCTTCTTATTCTTTGTTGAAGGAGTATTAATGGTTCCAATAACATTATCCATAATTTCATGACCTTCCAATTCTTCGAAAGCTGTAGCACTATCAAATGCCATTTCAGACTTGTCTTGAACTTTACCAAGTTTTTTCAAAGTCTTTGAATTCTTCATGATTGGAATTTCATAATTATCAATAATATTGAGAACAGTTCTAAGAATTTGAACAGATAAACCCTGCCTTTCTCTATCATGTTCTAAACCCATAACAGATAAGAAGAGTGACTCGTAGGTATTTCTGAATTTTTCTGCATGTAATTTGGCAGCTGTACAGAAACCGTCAGTATAGTTAGGGAACATTTTGATCATCGTTGCAGATTGAGTCATTGCTTCATCATGTCTTTCAGGGTCTTTATCGAGCATGAGTGATTCAATGTGGTGACGAAGATATCTCTTATTGTTTGGTTCCAATAAGACAGCTTCAGAGAATAATTCTTGTGCCTTTTGAAGATCTTCATAACTGTCATCCTCTTCTTCAATTTCAATCTTTTCTTTCTTTCCACCATAACTAAAGACACTGAGTGCACTAAATATGGATGTGTAGAGACTTTCATCTTCTTCCTTTGAATTTTTAATTTCTTGTTTGATTTCATCTTTTTTACGTTTCAAGAATGCTGTATAATTTTCAAAGAAGATTTGACCTTCTTCATCTTTTTCAGCTGCAGTAATACTCTTTGATTCTCTATCATAAATTTCATCTTTCAATAAGAGTAAGTTATCCATAGCTTCTTCATCGTCAAATGTTAAACTTTCTTCAATAATTTCCTTAGCCTTTTCATAATCACACAATTCCAAATAGATTGTTGCAAGGGTAGCATAAACTTCTTCACTAGTATCATGTAGGAGAGCTTCTTGAGCGTCTTTCAATGCAATTTCTGGTTGAGAAAGTTTAAGTAACACTCTGGCTCTTCTACATAAATATTGGGCACAATCATCGTGTAGGTGAATAGCACTAGAGTAGAGTTCAAGTGCTTGTTCATAATTTCCATTGGCATAACAATCTTCAGCATCTCTTGCTCTCAAATAGGCTTCATTCCATTGGCTTTCAATTCTGATTAATTTTTCCAATCTCAATCTCAAAGTTTGATCATTTGGATACATATCCATACCGTTTTGTAATAAGGTTTTAGCTTCTGAGAAATTTTTGAGTTCTAAATGGATATCAGAATGTAATCTAATAGCAATAATATTCTTTGGATCGAACTTTAAAACCTTGGTGGAATCATCAAGAGCTTTTTTGAACTTTTGTCTCTCGAATAATGCTTTCGATCTTGCCAATAAATATTCAATATTATTTGGACGTAATCTGATGGCCTTATTCAAACAATTAATAGCTACATCAAATTCTTCAGCTTCAATGGCTTCTCTTCCTTCTTCAAATTTCTTCTCTGCATCAAAACTAGCTGTTTGAAGTTTTACATTATGCCAAACATCATTGAGTGGTGTATTGAATGGAGATTGAGCAAGAGCACTATTACACAATTCAATACTTTCTTCAAGATTTCCTGTTTCCATCAATGATTTACACAATAATACATAAAAGTGGGGGAATGTACTTTCTAATTTAACAGCTTGTCTACAATCTTCAATAGATTTTTCAAATTCTTCATTCTCATAATAGCATTCAGCTCTTTCAAAGTATAATGAAGCATAATCTCTATCATCTTGAGTCTTTTCTTCACTATCTTCTATTTTCAATGAGAGAGCTTCAGTAAATTGTCTTATCGCTTCATAAAAGTCATTTTTGGACTTGGATTTCATACCTGCTTTAACAAGGAAATCAAACTTGTCTCTTGTTCGTTTCAAATCTTCTACTTTCTTTGTTAAATCTTCTAACTTTTCAATATGTTCAGATTGAAGATACAAGTGACGTTCATATTCTTCAATTTTTCTCTTCTTTTGTGCTCTATGTTTAAAAGTCATATCTTTAAGATAGTTAGTGGCAATATCGAATTGACGCATTGAGGTATAAGCTCTTGCACCAAGAGAAATAGCTTCATAAATGACGTCTACATTAACTCTATCGACTGTATCTTCCTTCTTTTCATCATCAGTTTCTGCCTTTTTATATCTTTGACCAAGGAAGGAAAGATAGAGACCATCAGTAATTTGTCTCATCACTTCAATAGCCTCCTTAATATGCGATACACAATGAATATATTGTCTGAGTAAATATTTACATCTTGCTTTGGATAAATAAAAATCTGCACTGTGTGGATAAAGATCAATGGCTTCATCCAATAAACTGACTATTTGTTCAATTTGTGCAATGGTCTTTTGGGGAAGTTCTAAACTTGTAATATTAATTTTGTAAAGTGTAAATTTAGGATTTTCAGTGACAATTTCCTTTTCGACATCTTGGAAAATAAACAAGGCTCTTTCATATTTCATTTGGGCAAGTTGTTTCTTCTTATATAAATCCTTAGACTTCATGAATTGACTCTTAATGTTTGAGTTTTCAGGGAACATTCTCATGGCTGCTTCCAGAACTGTAATAGAATGATGGTATCTATTTAAAAACTGTAAAGCAACACCCTGACACAGGTAACCTTCATAACTCTTTGGTGAGATTCTAGAGGCGAGAACGGCAACTTTCAAGGCATTCAAGTGTTTCTTCTTTCCTAACAAAATATCAACCTTATCTGAAAGATAGGAAATATTAGTTGGATCCTTTTCAATAACTTCATTGATAGTGAGTAGGGCGTCTTCATAATTTCCTTGTTGGAATAACTGTTTGGCATAAATTGATAAGTTGGCTGCTTTTTGCATGGTTTCCTTCTTCTTTTCTGCGTCCTTGAGTGCTTGTTTTAATTGATTGAACCCTTCATTAACTGAAACTCCATCCATTTCCAAGAATTCATCAGCAGCATTTACAACCTCACAGTTTTCAACACCTTGTCCAAAAAATTCAATAGCCTTGGTAACCTTTCTTTTGGCCAAATAACATGAACCAATAATATAATAGGCTTTCCAATAGTCGACAGCCATTTCCAAAACTTTCTTTGCATATTTTACGCATTGCTTATAGTCTGTCTTGAGATAAAAAGCATCAGCCAAGGCAATAATGTACTTGACACCAAATGGCTCGAATGAAATAACTTTTTTTAACAAATCAATAGCCTGATCACAATCAGATTGTTCCATATTTACATCAATTTCCTTAAATAAATATTCTTCAAAGAAAAGATCAAGAGTTTGAGATTCTTCTTCTACAATTTCTTCTTGCTCTTTCATTCTAATTTCATCAATCTTATTAATTTTTTCTCTGTAAGATTCTAATAAATCCTTAGCTTTGTCAAACAAACTTTCAACAATCATACTTCTATCCCTCTTTTCAGAGAGGAATCGTTCAAACTTTTCAAGTTTTTCTCTCAGATAAACATCTTGTGGTTTTTCATTTTTGAATGAAAGAATATTTGAAAAACTGAAATTAGCAGCCTTATTGGCCTTTTTGAAAAATTGTTGAATTTGCTCTTCAGCACTGTCAATGGTGGTCAAGCCAGTGTCATATTGCTTCTTTCTTTCAAATGCTGTGGCCTTTACAATATATACAGAGGTCATCCAAGATCCAATTGAAGCGTAATCAATTGTTTTCTTTTCCTTGATATCTATCATATCAAGCATTTCAACATATTTGAGGAATCTATTGGCATCATTGATTGCCTCATTAAAGTTACGTTCTTTAATTCTACACTTTGCTCTGATCTTGTAACTCCTCAATATCAAATTGTTAGGGAATTTACCCTTCATTAATTTTGATTCTTCATCTGAAATTACATCTGTTAACATTAATCTGGCAGAAATATGATCATTGAGTCTGTAAAAAATAATACCCTTCTTGGTTTTAAAATCACTATCATCGTGTCTGAGTTTCAGACCTTCCTCTACATCAATATTAGCCTTGTCCCACATTTTCAATTTCATATAACACTCAGCTCTTGTTCTATATTGTTCTATATTCTTAGGATTCTTTCTAATTTTGATTGTTTCTGCTTCAATCAATTTTACAAGTTGATTCTTCTCTTCTTGTGTTTTATCAACTTTCACATCTTCATACAAATGTTTTTCAGTAGATTTCAATTCATTTTCTGCTTTCACGACAACATCATCTTCTTCACTAATATTCAAATCTCCAACACCAACTTTAAGTAAATCAATAACTTGTTTAACATCAACAGTAGCAATACCAGCTTGAATACCTTGTTTAAAATTACTACCTCCATTTACATAAACACAATCATCACTTGAATCGTAAATCATGATGTGTCCTTTTCTTGCAGTTGGCCAAGAGTCATTAAGTTTAATCATTCTTGGAAGTGGAACAAATGATTCATTTACAAGATCCAAAATATGACAATCTCTTCTATGTGTGTAATCTCTTACACCACCAAATATTAAAATACATCCTCGTCCAATATTTACAGCTGCAGATGAATATCTTTCATCAGGAGGTTGGTCTAAAGTTGTTGCAACAGAACCATAACTTGTTGTGCTACTGTAGGAGTAAAAAGGTGTGAATCGTGCAATTTCTGACCAAGCTGTTTTACCAGAAATTCCCAATTGTTTACCAAAACCTTTCACTTGAGAAACTGTAGCATTTGTAACACCTTTTGTAACATCAACTACTTTTGTAATAATATTCTTATCCTTATCATCATAAATACTTTTTGATGGATCTGTCAAACAATGCCATTTGCTTGTTGTAAAACTAAATGACCAAACATCATTAAAACAAGTTCCACCAATATTTTTAGTATTCAATGCTTCAGTTATTTTACCTATATACATTGCATGAATATTTGAAAATCCAAACATGATAACCATATGATGTTGATTCTTTTCGATTGTTGGCATTTTAATTTCACTCTTATCAATTTCTGATTTCATCATTTCAATATATAATTTCTTAGCTTGGGCTTCAAAAACAAGACTCATATCCATAATAACACCAGAATGTCCATATCTAGCTTCTGGTGCCTTAGTTCTATCAAAAGCAACTTGTGTCCAAATTTTAGTTTCCAAATCCAAACACCAAAAATCTGCCAAAGGCTCAGATCCACTATATCCACCAAATACCCACATACAGTCATTACTTTGAGTTCAAGTATTATAATTATAATCAAAATTAGAAATCAATTATTAAGAGAGAAAAGAAATTATAATAAAGATTCAATAGATAACATACTAAACCATAGCTGTATGCATAGATCTTCCCATTGGACGACTTTGTTTTTCATCAATGTCACACCGAGTCCATTTCCATTCAGTTGTATCCAAAACCCAAACATCATTCAGATAATTACTTCCATTATATCCACCAAATAAAATTACTTGTTCTTCCATAACATATTCCTCTGCTTTTGTTATTGGATTAATTTTCAATACTTCAGTTTCCCACACAGCAGTTGTTTGTCCTTCTCTTGATGAAGGAAATTGTGGTCCACTTGTTGTCAAGTTATTATTGTTTTTTCCTAATCCAAAAAGTCCAAGCATTGAACTCTTCTTTCCCTCGTATGAGTTTCCTTTAGAAACTATTGAATAGGTCCATTCTATCATTAAAATATTTTCAAATAATATAGTATTTAATTTGTTTCATCATAATTCAATTTCCGATATTGTCAATTTTCAAATCTACTTGCTTGACTGAACATACCAATATTATCGTGTTGAGGATTTTCATGTTTTTTAAATTGAACAACATCATTATATTTAGAGTACTTGGATGATCCTCCAAATATATAAAAACTTGATGGTGTTCTTTTTAAACTAAAACATGAATGATTTACTCTTTCTTCAAAAAAGACATGATCATCATATTCAGGCTTTACTTCTCCTGATAATTTCCACTCCATTTTCTATTAAAACTCTCCGAAATATATAATATTCAACTCCAATATTATTGTTCTAATGCCAAACACACAAAGAAGCGAACTGACAAGTGTGGAGAGTGAAAGTGGTAATAAATTAAAAAGTTGTTTTGATGATTTTTTTAATCTTGTTGTTTGATGACAATTATCTAAATGGAAAGGATTTGGAGCAAACAACGATTACTTTTCAATGCAAGTATCGTCATAAATTGTGAGAAGATCTTCCGCTTCTAATGAAGATGACGAACAATTTAATAACAACGAAGTTGAGGCAATTTACAATTTTAGAAAGTCCAACACTATTGCAACATAGAAGAGAATTATTCTAATGAAGGCTACTGTAAATACAAACAAATAATAGAAAATATTATTAAATGATAAATTAGTTATCAGTCATGATTGAAGTTTCTACTATATTACTCATCAAGAGGAATTACAATTCCGATAAAAACAAAGCAAAAAAATGGAACAAGATACATTGCTGGAGGAGGAAATAGATTTTGATCAACAACAAGAAGAACAGCAGCATTATCATGGAGAGGATATCCACTCGGATGAAAATATTTTGAATGAATCTACAAGTAATGATAATCAAGAGGAAATAGTCAATAGTGATGAACAAGGACAAGACGAGGCTTTGTGTAGAATTTGCAAACAGCCTGCAGCTGATGATGACCCTCTTTTCCATCCGTGCAAGGTATGTTTTAAATATATTATATATTAGTATTGATATTGTAGTGTTCCGGAAGTATTAAATACATTCACGAATCATGTTTAAATGAATGGATGAAACACTCTAACAAGGGAAAATATTGTGAAATATGTAAACATCAATTCAAGTTTGAAAAAGTGTATACTACAGATGCACCTATTAAATTGTCACCCTTGCAATTTATTTTAGGCTTACTTTCGGTTGTATTTAGTTATTTAAAATCAATTAGTAGAATTCTTCTTGTAGTATTCATTTGGATAGTTTTAGTACCTTTTATTACCTATCAGTTTTATAGGATTGTGAATATAACCTCATGGAGACAAATACTGTCAATAGTTGAGTTTGAAACTCTATTCGAAGATTTTTCTCTCTTATTATTCATCAGGGATTGTATGTTAGGAGGAACAATTTGTTTATTTGTACTACTTTTAGATTTGATTACTGCTGGAGTTTTAGAATTCATCAAGTCTAATTTGGAGTTGTTAGAAAATTATGTTAATCCTCAACAACAAAATCAAGTGGCAAATAATCAACCACAACCTGTTAATGCTCAAGTAGCTAATAATGCTAATAATAATAACAATGAAGTTTTAACATTGAGGGATTTGCTGAACCAAGAGCAAGAAATGCAAGAAGAGGATGAAAATAATGGGAATGAAAACAATGAAGATCAGGAAGAAGAGGAAGAAGAGGAAGAAGAAGAGAATATTGAGAATGAAAATAATGATAATCAGCCAAACATTATTCAACCTCCTCAACCAATTGTTAATAATCAACCACCAAATAATCCTCCACAACAACAACAACAACCTAGAGAGGAATTGGATTTGGAAGAAATGATTGGTATCAAGGGAAAGATTTCTCATTTGATTGAAACTGTTGCTTTGGTACTTTTCGTCAATTCTCAACACATATTGTTGTTACTCTTCCTTCCTCTACAAATTGGAAGGTTTTTATGCACAACCATTGTTCAAGAATTGGATATTTCGTCAGTAATTTATCAAGTCTTGGCTGAACATAATTTATTGAAGAACACAACTCAAATTATTTCCAATGTTACCCAAACCATGAATGAGGTATTTAATCAAACTATTACCACTAATGGAACCATGGCCAATGAACCTAAGGAATCTGTGGAATTGACTAGTATTATGGTGTTTGCCGAAAAGATAGCACATATTTTGACTGGTTATGCATTTTTGATAGGAATGATTTATACCTATGTAGTCATCAATTATTTGCTACATTATGGTATTTCTAAGAAGTACTTCCCAATAAGTGGATTGGCTAAGAAATTGGTTTATTATACCAAGTATGTGTTGCTCCTTGTCAAGATTGCTGCAATTCTTGCCACCAACTTTATTTTAGTTCCTTTCTTAGTAGGAATGTTACTTGTCTTTTCAACCATTGAATTCTTTAAAAGAAATGAGAAATCAGTTCTTCCTCAAGACTTTACAACAACATCCAATTCTACAAGTTTCTCTATTGCAGACCAAGCTTCAATGATTTATAATAGTACTGCTCCAATAGTCCAGGAATTTACTGAGAAAAATGCTACTGAATTAGTAAGAGGTTTAATTATTGGTACTCATGCTTATTTCCAATCAGTGTCTGTGGAGTGGGTTCTTTCAAGAATGGTTTACATCATGAGTGTATCATTTATTTATTTCGTATTTGGTATCGTTGTAGTAGTAATTGCTAGTAGCTTTATTCAAATGCTTAGATCCTTCCTCTCAAAGAGAGTACTTTGGTTTTTGAGAGATCCAGACGACCAAAATTTCCACTACTTGAAGGAGCTAGTGACTCTTGGAGTTTTCACACATATGCGTAGAATATTCTTCTCCTTTGTGTTTTTATCAATTCTTGTACTTGCATTAGTTCGTACTCCTTTGAAGCTTGCTAGATTTATTCTTCAAGATTATGATATTTTCCCTCTTAGATTGAGCTCTAACTTGAGTGAGTCTACCACAATAATTGAGCTTACAGTGGATGCTTCACTTCCAATAATTACTTTCAATTATATGCAACAAAGATGGCTCAG